ATCATTGACTGACGAATCTGCAGATGAACGATGTAACTAAACCTGCAATTTGTTAAAATATGCTGAGGTCAGAGATTTAGCCTACAGCGTACCCTCGCGTTCGGCCTGTATCGTTGATAACAAGGCCAAAACACTTGATGACGCTAAGGTGCGCAACTGAAGTTAGGTCCCTAACATCCTCTGGTGGCCACTAATGCCTGCTAACATCTACTGGTAGTTTGGTGATTAAATTGTGCAGAAGACCTTCAAACTTACAGGGGATATTCCGCATCTTGTCCTATATTCTAAATTATACTACTACTTATACTACTGTTAAATATATGTAGGCACCTTTGCACGTTGTCAATAATTATGATAAAAATAAGTGATAGCAGTAGTAAGAATCATTTGAAGATTGGATTGATCGTTTTGGTATCATGTTTTTGCTGGAGGGTTGGGAGTCAGGTTGATATACCCTTGAAATGCTGCTGCACTAATGTAATTCTACTTCTAATTTATCTTTGGTGAGAAGAAATAAAAATTCTCAATTTTTTTCTTCTATTTAGTAATCATGTTGCCTTAAATTCAGTTCAGTGTTTAGAATTGAGTGACATATAGTGGTGAAGTTGCATGTCGCAGGACCCCTCACCTCACCCTCCCCTTCCAAACATGAAAGAGAACCTGTGGAAACCTTCAGTTGTCACAAAAACCCAAATGGTGTTTAGTTTGTCCAGTTTGGACTACTGTAAAAAAAAACCTGGCAGCCTCCACAGAGAGGACCCGCTCCTGATGTAAATATTGCATATTTAAATAAAAGGGGCCATTCTAGGGTAGAGAAAACAACTTGTACAATCTAGATGAAACTCACAGTGAAAACATCACATGGATCACTTTCATGATGTCTTTTTTATTGACTTCATTCCAACAGTTAATTTACTAAGTTATCCATTAATTTTAGGTTCAGCCCATATCCATTGTAACAAACTGGGAGGATGAACCACTTCGTCAACATAAAAATCCAATAAGAAATGTATCCGTGACTCAAAGCTCGATCTGATTGGACGCAGGAGGAAAGCCCCCTGCAGGGAGTCAGAGGAGGACGAGAGGTGAGCACTGGACATCACTTAGACTGAACCACTCTAGATCTGTTCTGACACCCAGTGAGCCTAGATAAGGACGTGGGTCCTTAAACTGATAGAGTTGTTTTAATTAAAAACAGTTTAATTGTTGAAACAAAAGCTTTCAACCAGCTGAGGATGGGTAAAACAAAGGACTCCGAGGAAGATGAGAGACCCAAATGGGACAACAAGGTGCAGTACCTGTTGACATGTATCGGCTTTGCAGTGGGACTTGGAAATGTTTGGCGTTTTCCTTACCTATGCCAAATATATGGAGGAGGTGAGATGCTACCTTTACATTTACTTTTCCACACTTCACATTAAATCAATTATATCAAATGTTAAAGATTTTATACCTTAATGTCATCAAGTCATGAGATGCTTTGATGTTGACCACAGTTAAAATGTCCCAAGAGCAAAGGCAATACATTAGTTTGTCAGGTCAGTCATTGTCCCTATGCACGCACAATGTTGAGCCTTTTCTCTGTTTGAGGGCTCATTCCCACTCAGTGGAATAAATACCAGTATTTACTTCCTCATAGCTGTCAGTGGTATCTTGAGCCCCAAAGCCAGAGAATCCTAAAGTGCCCGGGTCAGGGTCAGGTTGTTTAAACAGCCGATCCTGAGTTTATCAACATTGCAGGTTGAGATACCGAGACTCCCACAGGCAGAGTTTCAAAATTTGCAGAGCAACTATTTGACCTCATCTTAATGATCAATCAGTTACCTACATTTCTTCTTAAGATTATTTAGTGCATGTAGAGTGAAGGGTAGTTTGTTTTGTTTTTTTATAAGTATTTATTATTGCCTGACTCAGGTCCAGTCATGTTTTCAGCAACTTGGAAACTAGTGATTACAGTTTCTATAATATACTTCCATTTCTGGAGCTTATTGCAGTGTCCTCATTTAGCAGGTGTCACTCTGTTCATTTAAATGATTTGATGCTTTTTTAATTTCTTAATGAGTTTTGTTGACTCGGCTGAGGTTAATGTTCACTTCATGTCTTCAGGTGCATTCCTCATCCCCTACCTAATAGCTCTGGTGTTCGTGGGCCTCCCCCTGCTCTACCTGGAGCTGGCCATAGGACAGAGGCTCCGCAAGGGCAGTATCGGGGTCTGGAACTCTATCTCACCAATGCTGGGTGGGCTTGGTACGTGCCTTTCATATGTATGTTCAATCATTTCAGGGCATATTTCTTTAACAGAAAATGTCACCAGTTCCAATTAATCACTATCGATAGTATATATCCTGATATAAATGTCTGCCTCTGTCAGGTGCTTAATAAACACTGCCTTCTCACAGAAAGGCTTTAGGAAAACAGGTGAAGTAGTATATATAGAGATGAAAGGACTGAGCACAGGCGTGGTGCAACTCCTGTGTGAGAACAAAAGTTGACTGTGAATTTTTTTTGTCTATTTTTACTTTTACATTTAAATATAGTATGAAAATCTTAGCTTGGGGGATGTAAAATGCTGTTCAGAGTTTTGTGTTTTTCCTGACAACATGATTTTCTACATGTAGGTGTTGCCTCTATGTTGGTTTCATTCCTGGTGGGTATTTTCTACAACACTATCCTGGCCTGGGTTCTCTGGTATTTCTTTCACTCCTTCCAAAACCCGCTGCCGTGGAGCCAGTGTCCACTAAATGACAATCGCACAGGTAAGGAGGAAGCCCACCTGTCACTCCCCCTAGATCCCCTCAGGTTCTGTTACTGTCAACACTTCCACTTTGACAGTAACAGAAAAAATAATTTCTTAAAGCAGCTTGATATGAGTAAAATCTAATGAGCTTTCGGAAAACTTCCACAAAGAGCAAAAGTTAACTGTGAGGCTCAATGGGGCATTTCAGGTCAAAGTAAACAGGACACTGGATTGTTTTATGGCACAGACCAATGACACCACAACATGAAATAAAATGTGACTGTTTTGCTTTCATGCCAAGTTTTGCCAAGAGTAAAAAAATAATTTCTTTATGGTTTTGTTTTTCAGTTATTGTACGACAGGGTTTTACATATTTTACACATTTTAAATTGAATCATAAGGGAAAACATAACTCAAATGCTAAATAAATTTGAACAATGAACATTTACGTATATAAACTTAATTTTGCCACAAGCACAGAATGCAAATAAAGATGGACAACGCATCTCCACTTCTTCTAATTGTTCAGAGATGAAGTCAAATGCCAGAATCTGCACAGTAACAATGTCAGTGTCAGCTGTCACTGTTGCCTATACTGCAGCCAGCCACCAGGGGACTAACAAGAAACTTTGGCTTCACATTTGGGAAGCCAGCATGTCATCCATCTTTATATACGAGACTGAATGCATTTTTAAACCAAAATAAACACAAATAACTTGAACTCCTTCAGACTCTGTAAGTGCTAGTTTGTCTTACCTGTGGCATGTGTCCTTTAGGTTACAATGTAGAGTGTGAGAAGAGCACTCCGTCAAATTACTTCTGGTACCGCGAGACCCTGAACGTCACGCCTGACATTGAGACTAGTGGCTCCTTGCAGTGGTGGATGGTGATCTGTCTGGCCAGCGCCTGGTGCATTGTCTACATCTGTTTCATCAAAGGCATCAAGTCCATGGGAAAGGTTAGTTCACCTGTGAGGAAAATTTCAAATTCAGATTTTATCACTGTATCATATCTAGTAATCTTTTTTTTTTTTAAATAGGCTGTGTATGTGACAGCCACCTTCCCTTACCTGGTGCTGACCATTTTCCTGATTCGTGCCCTCACTCTGCCGGGAGCTAGTGATGGACTGGTGTACCTCTTCACTCCTGATGTGAGTGCGGAGACTGATGGAAAATTTGCTTCTCCCATCAGAGAAAACACACTGACCCAATGTGTCATCTTTATGCTCACTCCAGTGGGAGGTCCTGAAGAACCCCCAGGTGTGGCTGGACGCTGCAACCCAGATCTTCTTCTCCCTTTCTGTGGCCTTTGGAGGTCTCATAGCATTCTCCAGCTACAACGAACAGAAGTAAGAACTAATTCTCCTCAATTAGCTCGATAAAATTGGAAGGATTCTGCAAGACTTCAAAAAGTAATATTACTTCTAACTAACCCTGTCTATTAGAAACAACTGCGAGAGGGATGCTCTTATCGTTGGGATAATAAATAGCGCAACATCTCTGTATGCCTCTATATCCATCTTCGCCATCCTGGGATTTAAAGCCAACACTGGCTTTAACAACTGTCTACAAGAGTACGTTTGCACATCAATATGATTTTAAAGCTTCTTAACTTTCTAATACCAATGAGGAAGATGTTTTTACCTCTGCAGAAACATCTTGACTCTGACGGACCACTTTGAGTTTTCTGACCAGAACATAACAGTGGAGAACTACGGGCACTGGTTTGAGTATCTAAATCAAACATCTCCGGATGAGTTGGCCAAATTGCAACTGAGGCACTGTGACCTGCAAACATTCCTTGACGAGGTATTGAAATGTTCAAAATAAATAAGCATTCTTTTTGTCTGTGTTTCATTTTTTGAATCCTCCTCCTTCCTGAAATCCTGGCTGTGTTCCACTCTCGCCTCCCGGTTCTCTCAGCGCACAGTACATCATGTGCTGGTCAAACACGCACAGTCCCTTCAGGCTTCCCCATTACATTCTTTTCTCCTTCCTCTTCCTCCCACAGAGCGCCTCAGGTACCGGCCTGGCTTTTATTGTGTTCACCGAGGCAGTGGTAGAGATGCCAGGCTCGCAGATATGGGCCATATTGTTCTTCATCATGCTCTTCAGCTTGGGCCTCTCCTCCATGTTTGGCAACATCGAGGGAGTCCTCACGCCCATCCATGACCTCAATCTGGTGCCAAAGTGGATCCCAAATGAACTCGTAACAGGTCCGTGCAAATCTGCAAAAATGACAAGTTGCGACGTCTCTGAATTTATTGTGACATTATTTTTTTCTCTCAGCCATCACGTGCTTGGTAGCTTTCCTGACGGCTCTCATCTTCACACTGGGCTCCGGGAACTACTGGGTGGAGGTCTTTAACAACTACGTGGGCTCCGTACCTCTGCTCATCATTGCATACTTCGAGTTAATTGGAGTCATTTATGTCCGTGGAATGAAAACGTAATCCCCTTACTTCCTCCTCCTTTTCAATATACCTCTTTAACTTTATTCAATTCTAATCCCAGTTTCCCCCTGTCTCCTGCGTCCTCTCGATAGTTTCAGTGAAGACATCCAGTTCATGACTGGGAAGAAGCCCAACATCTTTTGGAAGGCCTGCTGGATGGTGATCAGTCCTTTAATGCTAAAGGGTGTGCTGATTGCCTATGTGGTCATCCAGGCACAGAAACATCCCACCTATTTTGCATGGAACCCAGATTATGTAAGAAGGAATATAGATATTACACTTAGTGTCAGATCTCACAGAATGACGTTACGTGTTTTAACTTGTTTTGTTCACAGTAGACTTCAGCAACAAGCTACAGGACAGGAACATTGATGACTTGCTAGTGGAAATTTTTTTTGACCATTACGTAACTAGGTCAGCCTAACCAGTGAGTCATATAGGTTGGAAAAGTTATTTATTAACAGTTATAACAAATGAGAAAAAGCTATCAATACCAAAATACCACTCATTTAGTGGTGTTCATGTTGTTTCCATGACTTAAAAGGTTCAGTGTGTAAGATTTAGGGAAATTGATTATAAAAAAAATCCTAGTGATCTTTTCACTGGTGTGTTTCAACCAGTTCTGAAGTTCACCACAGGTTCTCTTTCATGTTTGGAAGGGGTGGGTGAGGTAAAGGTATTCAGCTGCAACATGAAACATCACCTGTAGATATCACTTCATTCTACACACTGAACCTGTAACAGCATGTGAACACACGGGAGTCTGAAGAACGACTTCTCGGCATGGACCATCCAGAGAACATGAAGGCAGCATTATGTTCACCTGCAGTTCAGGAACATGCCTCCTAATGTGGATGTGCACACTGCTGCAAACATGTTTGCCACAGTAACATGATGAGCTAAAGCTACGTTTCCTATCCCCCAAATATCTGAATGGCACTCAGTAGGGAAGGCACACGCGTCTGCATGAAAACCAGGATTCGACCCTTTTCTCTGGATCCACGTCAAAATTTTACGTATTCTTTCTTGGCCCGAATCCCATCCTTTGACCAAGTTCTGTGGGAATTCTTTCAGTAGTTTTTGCTTCATCCTGCTGACAAACAAACCAACAATTAACATAACCTCCTTGGCAGCGGTTGAAAAACGAAAATAAAACATCAGTGGAAGCCGAGGGAAACAGCTGTTGTACTGTTGTACACAAACAAAAGTTTCATTCTAGAAATGAACCAGGTTAAACACAGGGACTTTAAGCTAAACTGAGATAATTGCTATACGGCTTCGCATTTAGGGCAGATTGTGGTATCAATCTTTTCAGCTCGCTCTGTAGCTTGAAAGAGACTTTTAAACTTAAGTCTACAATGAAATAATGATGACATTCATCACGTTCTATATTTGTTTGTCTGCGTCTTTAGGAACTGTTCCCTGCAACTGAAGTGAAGCCATACCCAGACTGGGTCTTTGCCATAATCATCCTCCTCAGTACGGTCCCTGTGCTGTCCATTCCTGTGGTGTTTGTCTACAAACTGATCCGCTATCTGCACAAGAGGTCTTCCGCCCGAGCCGAACTAAACCCCTACTGCAACGAGGGCTTTGAGGTGGAAACGCAAGAACAGAGGAAACAGCAAGCTTAGGACACGTTTCGAGCAACAAAACTACTGACTTCCCGATGATCACTTCTGGATCTTGCCTCTAAAATCACCTGGCATATAATCTGACATTTTAAACTTTGTCTATTAACTTCTGTTTAAATTAGCAGGATTTTATAACCTGACATATGACAACTTGCATTTGTTAACTCAAAAGCAAAACTGGATTTATTGAACATTCAAATTCTTTACTTTGTTATTCACATCATGCACATTACACAGTAAATGAACTTGATGTAAATAACATTCAGTGTAACACATCAAACTGAAACACACACAACCGCCTTTGATTCCTCATTTACAAAATCTTACATTTGAACACAAACACTTCTGCATGAGATGTTTCTGAGAGATTAGTGCAGCGTAAAGAGCTGCTTCTACGTCATATTGTGCAAAAAATATTTTACTTACTTACTTGATTTTCTTATTAATTAGTTTGCAAAGTCACATCATGTGTTGTTCGTGGAAAATTACCGCAAAGTGTAAATCAAAGTCCAGAGAGAGAAACTGCTCAGAGTCGAGACAAGGACCGCTATGGTAGCTGGAGAAATATGAATTATCCATCTTTATTGTTGAGGAGCTTGTTATTGTTTTGTTGGGTGTGTTTATTACTTTACTTTATCATTTAATTGTTTGATATAACATTACTAAGAGCTTTTTTCTCTCTCTGTTGTCAGCCATGGTCACAGATATATCATTATTGTTTTGGCACAATGACAGGTCAGATAAATCCAAATGACTGATTTCAACACAGCTCATCTCAGTCTCTTGAAACCTGAGGATGAGACAAGCAAAGTATATGAAAAAAATAAAAAAAGGAAGAAGTTTGTATTACATCAAAATCTGAGGATTTTGGAGAATAGACAACACTCAAAGCATTAAAAATGTCAGAGCTGCTAGATACCTTTGAGCTGCTGAGGGTTTCTTAGTTTCTGGGAGCTGTAACTCGGGCGAGCTTGTACTCTACATCTGGATGGACAGGAAGTCAACTGGAGTCCTGGGGTTAGTGGCCTGTCGGACTCTGGCCAACCTCATGTCCCCCAGGCGCCGCTCCAGACTGCGCTTCCCTGCCAGCAGAAGATACGGATGTGTTTTTTATTTCTCTTTAATAGAGAACAGGGACATTCTTTCGCTTGAACCTTTTCCAACTCCTGTAAAATCGAGTTAAGGTGGCAATAAACTTAGAGTTCATGTAAGATCACATTTTTAGTTTTGTTGGGTTTGGTGCATCTCTCACAAAGTCAACATTCAAACGGAGTGGCCCTTCTCAAGGAAAATCAGGGCTTTCTTCTCCTGTAGGTGCAAAACCAGCAGTTTTTAAATGAAGATTTTGAAACGTTCTGTCTAAAAAAACAAACATGCCTGGCAGTGCAATAGTGGCTCAGTCCTACAACAACATAGACCTCTCCCAATTTACTGACCACTTTTTACACCACGTTACATCCATACACCACTGAGAGTAATGCAGAGACCTAAAGCATTCTGCAGAAGCACCACGCCTGGAGTTCAGTTTGTGAATTTCTCACATGTACATTGTCTGATCTTTTCTGTGCAGTTGATTCAACACCAGTAACTACTACACAGCAGGAACTTAACATCACATTACATAACACATTTACAGAAATTAATGGATGTTTTTTTATTCTAGTTAACAGAAGTTATGACACGACAACTCTTACCATTACTATCTGTTGATCATTAGACTGAAGCTGCTTGTTGCTCCAACTTTTTTTGCACAAAGTGAAATGTGGGGTTTTGTTGTCTGAAGTTTACAGCCAATATCTAAACTGAATTTCATCTCAGTCTCCAAATGATAAAAGGGNCACACACACACACACACACACACACACACACACTGCATCTCACTCGCATCTCATCACTCTCGGGATCGTACACCCCCGTCCAGATTGGCAGATTAATGTACAGGATGAGTGCAAGCGGACACGCCCAGAAGCCTCCCTGATTACGGCCCCCCTCGTCTTTATGGACTTGTAAAGAGATTCACCATCTGAAAAACAGCTAATGCCACGAGTCCTGCCCACTGAGACACAAGCCGCCACGACGGGAGAAATCAGATTTGTGTCCTAATCGCTTATAAACCCTTAAGTGGACAATCTTGTCCCCGTATAAACATTCCCACTATTCTCACAGGACCTGCCCTCTTTTTCACAGCTCATCAAAATCACAATTTTTTTTGCCAAAATCCTTTTCTTTTTTTTTTTTTTAACCTTTCCAGTGTCACCAACTCCTCCATTGCCTTTTAGACTCGAACGTGACGTTGAATCGGGACAGTCAGTCACCCATGGCCGCTCAGCGGAACAGTCGACACTGCAAAATTAGTGTCATGCAGAGGTCCTCTAGCGAGCCAGTGAGGCAGGGAAAAAGACAGTTCATGATCTACGCAGCGCTGCTCCACACGTACCAACGACTCCCATGCCAGTTGAGTACAGTCCCCTCGACGCCTGGTACCGTCCTACACCTCTGCACTTCTCTGAAGCATAAACCATAAACCATCTGTATTATATGGTGCGAAGAAACGTGTCCAAGTCAATTGGCTCTCGGGGTAGTTGGAGAAGTTTCAAGGATCTAAGTGAGATTTACCTGTTTCATCTCTGACGTACAGTTTGCTATTTATCACAGATAAGAGAGGGTGTGTTATTCACTTCCAACTTGAGGATATGGAAGGATCCTGAGAACCAATAATTCATTTGACGTTTCTCCAATGACGTTCGATATGTTATTCATCAAAACCTGAAAAGTGGAAATATTGATAATTCAAGCAATTGGGGAAGTATTTCTAAGCTCATCCCTAAGATGTTGGATGGACAATTCCAGCAACTTGTGAATCTTTTGATTGCTTTTTAATTTTTTTTAACTTTCTGAATATTAATCAAAAAAACATGAGCAAAGAAATAATAAAAAATAATCGTTGGTTGTTTTTTAATTTCGCTTTTTCTAAGATCTGTGCTGTACTATATAAATAAATTTGTTTGTGTTGCACACGGTGCTGTACCGTTGTTTACATCAAACATGCTGCATACACTTTTTTAGCAGTGCTAATCATGACAGAGTCTGTCTGATGTTGTTTCTGCACGAGTGGGTTTCTTGAGGTTACATACGTTTGTGCAGGCATGGGAGCAGATCCTTATACAGAGGCCGATGCTGGGACAGCACCAACAGGAAGGAAAGACAGAAAATCAACTCCACTGCTTCATACTGCACAACGCCCGTCTGAGCCTTACTGCCTAAAACCAGACCTGGAGAAATGACAAGCAAGGAGGAAAGAAAATGATTAAAATGTGTGACTTCAGATTGCTTATATTTATTTTCCGAGATAAAAAAGTAAAGTGCAGGAAATGTTGCCTTTGTTGCTGTGCCTGATGAGATGATTGGTATACTTAGCCATGTCCCATATCATTTTCAGGAAGTATACAGGGTTCTTATCAACAGTCTGGCCAAAGGGCAAACTCCGGGCACAGACATGGAACCTTAAGAGGAAAACAAAACATTAACACAAAAAAACCACAAAAAGAAGGAAGAGAAAATAGAGACAGTTCTTATTTAGCTTTTACATACTGAGGTAAATGGAGGTGCAATGACACAGCTCAGTGCAGGAATTGACTGATAATATGTCACTGTTTACTAACCGAACACATTTCAATGCTTCACTGAACAGTTGAAACAAAACAATATCACCTAATCAAACTGATTAATTAAAACACATTATCAGATTATAGGAGCCATATGTTATAGAGTTAATATATTTTAAGATACAGAAATTAGGTCAGCATCTTTACCTGCATGCATGAAGCAGCACCAGCTTATAGATGTTCTTGTAGACTGCCTCAAGAGAATTGGTCTGAGAAGGAAAACAAACCTGTCATTATATTTAGCACAAACGTACACATACAGAAACTCAACTAGAAGGATAGACAGAGAGAGATATATGTGCGACTTCTACTTTATCGATGCAGCTAAATAAAATGCAATCTTTTTTGTGAGGTATGCTTGAGCTGTCTTTAACATTTGCACATGAAATATAAATTAAGCAACATTAATCAGTCATATTTTCTATTCTCTGGCCTTTTTCACTGTTTGTCACATACACAGCATTTATTTATTCTGATGCGTACTATAATTTTTTATTTGTTATGCGTTGAAATTAAAATCATGGCAGAATAAACTCATTTATTGTGTAACTTGACAAGTTTACAGCAGTTATTTACCGCTTTGTTGCTGTTTGAGGGGAAACTTCCCACTGGTAACCTTAGATAATGTTTCCATAACATGTTGATAAAGCCCAAGAGGAAGTGCAGGTTCACATTTATACCTTTACGTCCTTCAAAAGAGACGACTTAGATATATTAATTTGTATTGAATTAAGGGTCTGAGTCTTTGGATTAGATTTCTTTTGCAGTGAATTTTAGATAATTTTGCAAAAACATGTTTTCAAATAAAAAAATAAAATATGAATCTGATCCTTTTTACCTTAAATCTACATGAAAACAAATTTGTTTTTATTTTACCGACCTTCAGGTCCACGAACAGGGCGTGACATTTGAGTCTGAGGATGGACGTCAGTTTCCTTTTCATTTGCTGTCCGGCTGAGTGGAAGGAGCCCAAAGTCAGGCTGTAGCGTAAAGAAAGGCCTGCATAACTGTGAGAGATGGAGAGTAAGAAGTAAACAAGAAATGTTGGGCATGGTGATGCAGGTCCTGTGTGTTACTTAAGAATATGAATCATCCATACCATACTGGTGATTGTTTCTACAATGTCAACTTTGCTCGAAAAATGTGGGTCTATGTCGCACTGTGAGTTAGGCTCAAAGATGACAAAATTCTAAGAATGTCAGAAATTTAGGATCATCATCTCACAATGTGAGTGCTGCTATGACCTACTGTATGTCATTCCAATAGGAATGCAGTGTGAAATGATGTCCTGATTAAATATCATGTTTTTCCAACCCTGAGTGGGTCCACATTCTCCACCTCCTCTTTGATTTTGTTCCTCAAACATAAATACAACTGTTCTAGTCTCAATGTTTACCCACAATGCAGCACAGATAGGCTGATGACGTTTTATTCTTATGAAATAGCAGGTGTTATGATCCCACAGTCTACATACATTAAAGTAGATGTATTAAAATGTATTAGATCCATGAAGCATGGTGTGTGGCTGGCTATAAACCTGCATGATGCTGATCAGATCTCACTGCGTCAGCCACATTAGAATGTTTACAAGCTGATTCAAAGTGCACGGATGAGTGATGCAGCTTACGAGAAACCATAAACATTGACAGAGCCCAATAACTTTCCATCCGAGAAGCAAAATGCAGGAAAGGATTCAGCAATATAACTCTGACTGACGTTTTCACCTTGAGTAATCTTTGTGGACGTCCAGAGAGCGCGTGTCCAGCAGCAGTCCACACCAGGGGAAGAGGCAGTGAGGGGGCAGCACACGGATGTCGGGACAAGAATCAATGCTTCCTGATGCTTGAAAGTTGAGCACCACCTTCTGTGGGTTGACCACTAAGCCATACTGTGGTACACCACCCAGCAGGATCCTACAGACACATGTGCAAATGCAATTATTAAGTGCTCAAATAAAAAACGTATGCATCATGTTGTTAAATCTGTTTAGGCTTTCAAGCATTTTCCTGGATATGTGTTCCACTTGAAATGTCTCTATTTTTCATATCTTATGTATGGTATGTTTATGCTATCCATTTAATTATATTATGTGTATCTTATATTTCCTATCATCCTGTAGTGTCTTTGAGCATCATTAAACGTCGTGCACAAAAACAATCTGTTATTTTTCCAAAATTCTAAATATTTCTTTGATTTAATTGTAAAGCACTTTGAGCTGCATTTTATGTATGAAAGGTGCTGCATGAATCAAGATTATTACTATGATAAAGTGGTTAAAGTTGAGATAAAAAGTAGATTTTCTAAAAGTTCCCAAAAATTCATTATATTTAAGAAGTGCATGAGGAAAGTAACATCTATCTGTCAATGCTGGAATGTGTCATACTTGAGGAAGGTTTGTGCTTCATGCAAGTCTGGGGTGATGAGAAGGAAGTCATCCACCAGTCTCATCAGACACCTGCAAGAAACGCAGATGTAAAGAAAGACTGCTCTCTGCTGCTGCACGCGTGTGACTGCATCTACACAGGATGATACAGAGAGGTCTGTTGTACCCTTTGCTTTTAGAAACATCTTTGAACAGGGCATTCTCCATGTGACCGTAGCAGAGACAGCAGAGCAGACTGGACACAACCGATCCCTGAGGAATTCCTCTGCACTGACGGTACGTTCTGTAAAACATAGCGCCAAGAATCCGATAACTGTCCTGCTCACATTGGAAATGAATGAAAGTGACGCATGGCTTAAGATAACGCTTACTTTTTGCCAAACTGAACAACACTGCCAGTTAACATTTGGGTGAAAAACTGTGACACTTCTCTGCTGTGAAGATCTGAGGTGAAAAGCTGGAAAGAAAAAGTAAGAAAGTAAAGTAAAGTAAAAAAAAAAAAGTGTCAGAGACCCTTTATGGAAACCTGCTCACCTGCTCCACCAGAATGGCATGATGGACTTTCCCTTTTTTCTGCAGTGACATCACAAACCCTTTCATGTTGGTGGATCCTATGTTGTCCTCCAGGAAGTCTGTCTATATTGGCACAAGTGGCCGAATTACATGTGTACATACAAAACATACATGATCATGTGTGCGGATATAATCTTACCTGTCTAATAAAGGACTTTTTCAGGCCTTCGTGGGAATCGACCCAGATCTTGGCGTAGCGGCGGGTGGTGAACAGTTCATCGTGGTCAGGTGAGAGCACCTCGCCAACCACCTCAATGAGTTTTTCATGAGGCAGACTCTCATAGGCTCCACTCACATCCACCTGAATCACAGAGAAAGGACGGAATAAATTAAAGGAGACATTTTGTAGAGTGACAAAATAACAATAAAGAGATGTAACTCAGTGGAAGGGTTCCATCTCCCATGAGAACTGTGTATTACCAAACTACACTAGATCACTAATAGCTGACAGCATTTTAGCACACACGTGGTGTGGGTTCAGGTGTTTTCAGTCAATCACATTAGTCGAACACAGACTTGATATGAGAGATCATCTGATTCCTTTTTTGTACGGGTGAGGTGAAGCTTGTGTGTTTGTTGCCTGAGCGACTGATCTGTTTTCTGTACATGAGGTTTAAGCTATCGAAGGTTAGCAACTCAGACCCGTACAGAATTGAATGTGCCATGGTCCTGTTAAAAACACCTGAGACTGTAGAGGCTGCTCTTGCAAATTTAAACATGCTCTATCTCAAAATGGACACTTCAGTTCGTATAAACATGTGGTACACTGTCAAGCCTGTATACTCACTGACATAGTAAAACAATAATCATTTTGACATGGTTGTGTTCCCTCAAATCAAACAGGAACATTTGTGTGCTCATCAGAAATCACTAACAATATTTCATCAACAATATTTGAGCCACAACTGATGTCCGCCAAAAAACCTGCCCGCTACTTTGTTCACTTAAAGACCTTTTTTCTTGTGTCTGCACCCTGATTCATGCCTCACCATCAACAACAAGCCTGTATTCCCCTTTCTCATCTGCCATTTCTGCTTGTTTGAAGATAAGATGCTCCATGTTGATTGTTTTGCACTCATAGAGCTATACTAGAGCTATAATAGAGCTATAACAGAGCTATATGCTATACATGAATGCACTTGCAAACTCAAAATATCAAGTGAAGCACAGCAATGGTCTCGCGTTCACCTTAACGAAGTAGAGGGGTTGGGGCTTGTCCTTCTGCACCACAGCCAGAGAGTGCAAAACCTTGTGAATGTCCGTCATCCCCCACACTGTGGAGCCCAGGAGAGAGGGAGTGCAGCGCACACAGGCCCGCAGCATATCCAGCAAGTCCCGGACACGACTTTGGTAAAGCTGCAAGAAAAAAAGAAAATGTCCCAAAAATGCTACACACACTTAGAACACATGAATATATATATATTTTTTTGGGGATATTCCATTGTAAAAATATACCCTAGTTTTGGCATCAGCTCCTATGACTCGCGTGATCGGCCTCATGCCGTCAGTCTTGGGGATGAAGCGAAGGCGGGAGAGGACCGTAGCTTTGGGGAGGGAGGCGATCTGTGTTGGCGTCAACTCTTCCATCTGGCCCTTGGAAAGGTGACCTCTAAAATCACAACAAAGGTTTGTGAGCTTGTACCCCATGACTGTATAAACAATTTGCAGATGTGTGTTGGTTTGAGCGTGTACCTGAAGGCCAGATCCTGCAGTTTGGCCCAGACTTCCTGTCTATAGAACCTGAGGGCGTTCTTCTGTCCCACGCTCTCAGTGACATAGAAGGAGGCTCGGACGAGGCTTACAACAAAGCCATCCAGAGCCCAAGCCAAGAACTGACCCAGGATCCGTGTCCGGAAAGAGAGCTCACTGGGCGGGACCCTACCTGCAGATTACACTGGCCGTGGCATCAAAAATACTTGTACCAATAGAAAACAAAACAACAACATTTCTCCAGTGACAATCGTACCTGTCTTACTGATCTTCAACCAATTACAGTCATTCACCTTCATCTTCCACAGCAGTTCAGCCACAGAGAGCCTCTCAAACTTGCCGCTGCGCAGGAAGCCCCTGACCCTTGCAAAGAAATGAAGTCGGTTGTGGTCAGAGCCCCACAGCTCATGTGGGATCACAGCGGAGAGACACTCCCTGACAAACAAGTACACCCTATGAGGTGCACAGCGTTGAGGCAAAAGGGAGATCAGCTCTTCCTGTCCTGCCTTTCTCTCCTCCAGCAGTGGACACATCCTCTGCAGAATTCTGCTGTACGGACATCTCCTGTGTTGACACAGCAGCTGCCTGAACAGGGGGACCATGTTGAAAAAGCGCCGGGGGAGTTTTTTTGGATTCCTCTCAAGCCCCTTTAGATAAGCGAGTCCTTCAAAGAAGACTATTCTCACCAGATCTTTTCCCTGTAGCCTCTTGGATCCGACACCACTCTTCTTTTTCCTGTTGAGAAGAAAGCTATGCATTCCCCTTCCCCCATACAGGATTCCCAGCGTGCGAATAAAACACTGCGAGGGAGGTAATGGGGGAAAAACCCCCGATCTCCAACTGGGTCCTCCCTCCAAGGGAGTGATTGTTGTGGGAACGTCAACAGGCTGTTTAGAACCAGTACCGCCATCTTCCAAAGGCTTCCCAGATGATGTATGTTCCACAGACATGGGCTGCTCTTCCTCCACTGTCTCACTACACACCTGATGGATGTCTTGTGTGGGCTCTTGCTGTCCTATTCGTCTTCTCTTTCCTGAACATGTCATAAGCGCCTTGTCATCCTTCTGATCAGTCTCTCTCTTTCTTTTCCCCCTCTTCACTTTTACATCTGCTCTGTTCCTCATCTTGCTGACTGTTTGCTTCTCAACTTTGTGTCTCTTTTTCAAGGTCACCGACCCTTGATACTTTCCAAACTGGGTACCGTTATGTGCCCTGTGACGAGGCTGGAGATAAAATCTGGGGATGGCAGTAGCCATGGAGACCCTGTCATACACAGGAGTGCCACTCACCTGGAAAACACACGAAGGGGGGACTGCCACGAACACAGAGCAGCTCTCCAACAGGTACCGTGTGATGTCCGTGCCGAGACGTACTGAGACCTTTTTCCACAAGTCACTGCCATGGATGTAAGCGGCACTTTGAGTTATATCTCCTTGAAATTTAAAGTGGTCTGCATCCCGCTCCTCCTGAGCAACAGAGCGAAAATTGTAGCCGTGTGCCAAGACGTTTCGTTTCCATTTTCTTTTCACACTATTGAGAACGAAGGCCAACAGTTCAGGCAGAGAGCAGATCTGTGGAAATTAGAAAAATACACCACATTGACAAGAAGTATGCGTTTCACATTTGAGTCTTGGCATTAAAAAAAATATGAAACAGCACTCCTATAACTCTGATCTGTTGTTTACAGACTGTTCATATTAAATCATAATCACATTTTACTCTAAAGAGTGTCATCGTGATGTATGGGAGCTAAAATATTACTCATTAGGAACGATTTATGTGATGATGAAAATGATGTGCAGTTATCAGTGGTAAACTGGTTAACATGGGTACAGAAGATGTTACAATTGTTTGTTTAGAGCCTATTTCATTTTGCAGGTGCAGCTAAAGTCATGCAAAACCAGAAAAGCTCCAGGTAGATGCATTCAGACTTTTGCTCAAGCTTCCGAGCTGGACATGTTTGTGACAAGAAATGATTCTCCATCTATATTGAAAAATAAAGTACTGCACAGCTCTTGTCACTCTAGTTCAACTATTTGCACCATTTCTAATAAAGAATAACTAGTTTGCACATTTGTGTTTACATATAAAAAGTTTTTCTCACGTACAAACTCCTGTGCCACTGCACTTCACCTCATAAAATTTCTATACATATCACTGCAGTGAAAAGTGTATATAATGTACATACTCAGATCTTAATTCCATTTTTATTATTATTATTCTATTGCCTTGTATATTTCATGGTGACCTGCCTGCTGCTTTAACAACTGATTTTCTCTGGAGTGTGGCTCAATAAAGTTTTATCTTACCCTCACCCTCCTTTCAAGCTCTGCCGAGGACTTTAATGTGAATCAGTGACAGCAACCTTCGGCAACACATCTAGGAGGACACACTTACCTGGCTGCAGCTCGGTATTTGCTTCAGCTCCTTGTCAGAACAGACATAAACAGTCCGGACGAAAGACTTGAAGCGAGCATTGTCAGTGTGCTCCACCAGCACCGCCATGTGGCCCTCTCTGAACACGAGGCTGTCCGCAAACTCCTCCAGAGTCCGGGTGTGCTGGTAGAGAGAGCGCAGGATGTCAAGCACCGCGGACATGTCAGTGGACGACATGCTGACTTTCTCGCCCCGCCTGTCCCTTCCACTCAGGACAGGCTGGTCTGTGAAATCATCTGTCCGTAGTGGGAATGTTGACGGGGAGCGGCGTGTGTCCTTTCAATGACGAGCGTCAGTTTCAGCCAATGAGGAAGCCGTTTTTAAGCAGTCGTCCAATCAGAGAGCTTGATACTGCAGCAGCGAAATCACAGACGACCAATGGTGAACAGGTCCAGGCCTGTTGTCCCTCTATGAAAAGTAGTTGCACACACGTTTTCATGCATGATCAAAAACTCATGTGATTCTTGAAGGACATGTGAAGACAAATAAACATTTGTATTTTACATTTATTTCCCCAGATCGAGTTTTATCATCAGTGTCTGAGGGAGAAGGATCAGGTCCTTCCTCCCTGCAGCAGTAAGACTGTACAACCAGCTCTGCTCCCATAGAACTGCATGCACCCATAATGGACTGCACTCTGGTTCAACTCTCTTAACTGTGCAGTATTCATTCTGTCTGCGAAATACAATGATTCATGTGCAATCCATTCACTGAACATATTTGTTCTTGTTTTTACACTGTATATATTAGTTTTTATTCCATTCATATTTGTTATATTCCTTAAACTTAAGTATTATTATACTTACACTTGAGTATTGCATGTTACTTACTGAAGCCTATTTTTTTTGAAATGTTCCCAATTCTGGGACCAATAAAGGATTGGCTTATCTCATCTTATCTTAATCGGTATCACACAGAAGCAGTATTGTGCAAAAATTAGAGGTCACAGATTAAATGTAACAACAGGATGTCATTTTTTAAAGGTTATATATAAGTAATACTATTAAAGTAGTACTGCTTTTTTTAAATAACAAAATAAGGATAACATGCTTATTATGTTTTTTCACAGCGATTCAAGACACAGACTACAGTATATGTGCATTAATGAAAAAAACAATACAGAAAATTAGGACTGGTCAATAAAACAACATCAATAAATAGTGCAATATAATTTTATGAATAGAAATATAACAAAAGTCAAACATATCAATATATTGTTTATATATTATCAAGCACAGTGAGGAGGTATAACACGTAATGTATCTCCCTCAGGATTTTAAAGTGTTTTAAAGGTACAGTGTGTAGAATTTTGTGATATCTGGTGGTGAAATTGCATGTTGCAGCTGAACACCCCTCACCTCACCCTCTCCTTCCAGACATGAAAAATAAACTGTGGTAGCCTTTAATTGTCATAAAAACTCAAAAGGTGTTTAGTTTGTCCAGTCTGGACTAATGTAAAAAACATGGTGGCCTCCGTAGAGAGGGTAGAAAACTACAATTCATACAATTTAGATGAAACGAACTAGTGGAAACATCATGAGGATTATTCTACATTAACTTTCTGCCAATAGTTCCCTTTCACCTAAATCTTACACACTGGACCTTTAAGATACCGCTCTCTGTCCATAGAGAAGAGTTTAAAACCACAACCTTCAACCAGAAGACAAACATGTTTTAATCTGAAGGAAATGATCATGTTTATGTATCATGATCATTATCGACATCAAACTGATCACAACATTTTTTCATCTTGTTTTTGGCGTCCAGCCTTGTGGCCATCGCGCGGCCTCTGCTGCCCCCTGTCGGCCTCCTCGGCCGCTGCTCTCTGATTGGTGGAAGGACGCCGCTCTCGCTTGTACTGAGCGCGCGAATGAGCCCACGTCCCTCCGAGCCCTGTGCTAGCCGTTAGCTTAGCTTAGCCTCGCTCGGTCTGCGCTCGGAGCGGAGTGGGGATCGACTGACGCACCACGGGAGGACGTGAGAGAAGGCTCTTTGTCTCCGCGCATCGATCAACCTCGAGTCGCTGTGGTTTTTCTGCCACTTAAGATACCTACGATGGCGGACAAGGAAGGTAAAATACAGGTTCTTGTTATTGACCGCAACAAATAACCCGATTATGTGACTTTTACTGAGCTAATTAGCCGGCTAGCTTAGGTAGCATTTAGCTGCCGTAGCCCCCGAGCGAACCATTGCTCACTCGCAGGATTAGCTTTGCTGTTCTTGTTATTCTTGCTCTCATTTGTCAACCAATCGACAAGTTGCCGTTATCTACTAATTATAGTGGAGGTGAAGCGCCATTATATTGTAAGTTTGAAGAGGTATGCTAACCGTATAGCATGCTCACAACAGTGCGTCCACACGCCTGCTCACTGAAAACGAGCCAGTTCGGGTTCTTCATCTTGAAACTGCTGGTGTCTTTCGTCATTGCATTAACTGTGAGAGTCTTGACTGTCGCTGGAATACACTGAAAACACGACCTCTGTGTTAAACTAACGCTCAGTGACAGCTACAGACACAACTCCTTTAATTAGCTCCATGCAAACTGAACTTGTTGAGGAGCGACCACTGATTGGTCACTGTCTGTCTGCTGCAGCTGGTGCATATGATGATGCAGTGGAGGAGAGGGTGATCAACGAAGAGTACAAGATCTGGAAGAAGAACACCCCCTTCCTCTATGACCTGGTTATGACCCACGCTTTGGAGTGGCCCAGCCTCACTGCTCAGTGGCTGCCTGATGTCTCCAGGTATACACACGTTTCCACACTATCCCAATATCAATACTGGCGCATGAGTATTCTGCTATTTATATAAGTGGTGCTGACGTTAATGACCCTGTTTCTTCCTTTTCAGGCCGGAGGGGAAGGATTACAGTGTGCACCGACTGGTGCTGGGCACCCACACATCCGATGAGCAGAATCACCTGGTCATTGCCAGTGTCCAGCTGCCCAATGATGATGCCCAGTTCGACGCCTCACAGTATGATAGTGAAAAAGGAGGTAGGAAGTCTGCACAGTCACATGCCAATTAAATGCACATTAAGGCAGGCTGAGTTGTCATTATTTTTCTATTAAAGGTGTGTTTTATACACCATGAGGGTTATAGTTACATTGTGCAATGATTAGAAGCCATGTAATGAAAAAAATGGGGGTTATAGTTGTTTTAATGTGAATCAGGGAGCAGACATTTCTTGATCTGTCACTTAGGTCGGGCTCAGTCACATTTCTTATTAGACTTCTTTTGGTGTTTTAAGAATGAGAAACCACTGCAAATATTATGGTGTTAGTGGTTAAATTGTACTTTTTAATACTTGCTGTCTTGACATATCCATGTTTACATATTTTTTTCTGTTATCCTACAGAGTTTGGAGGTTTCGGCTCAGTGAGTGGCAAGATCGAGATAGAAATCAAGATCAATCACGAAGGAGAGGTGAATCGTGCCCGTTATATGCCACAGAATCCCTGCATCATCGCCACTAAGACCCCCACCTCAGATGTGCTTGTGTTTGACTACACCAAGCATCCCTCCAAGCCAGGTACAAAGATCACACACAAGACACTGCTAAGGGTGGAACCTGTTTTGAAACCTTTGACTTACTAAAAAATATTTTGTTATCTCACTGTGTATATTTTTTTGTTTATGTTGTATTTGTAATCAAAGTCATTAATACACTTATTCTGTTGTCCACAGATCCCTCTGGAGAGTGTCGCCCTGATCTGCGTCTCAGAGGTCATCAGAAAGAGGGCTATGGTCTCTCCTGGAATTCAAATCTGTCTGGCTGTCTACTTAGTGCATCAGATGATCATGTAAGAGGGCATCAGTTTCATTGTTGACAACTATCGTCGAGTAGCTACCTATACTTTAGGTTTTATTGAGTCACTGATTCTGAATATTAAGTGTTCAAACGTGGTATCTGAAATATTAATGTGTTTCAAACCTCTCGTCTTTCCTTAACCTTTAGACGATCTGTATGTGGGACATCAGTGCTGTTCCAAAGGAGGGGAAGATAGTCGATGCGAAGACGATATTCACCGGTCACACAGCTGTGGTGGAAGATGTCTCTTGGCACTTGCTTCATGAGTCCCTCTTTGGATCTGTAGCAGATGACCAGAAGCTCATGATGTAAGAAGCTTGATAATAAGTCAAATCTAACTCATTGGAACTTTCAGTTGTCTGTCAAATAATCCAAATTAATGACCAATCACCCTGCCTCTTTTCGTCTTAGTTGGGACACACGTTCAAACAACACCTCCAAACCCAGCCATGCTGTCGATGCCCACATCGCAGAGGTCAACTGTTTGTCATTTAACCCTTACAGCGAGTTCATCCTTGCCACTGGTTCTGCAGACAAGGTAATGCAACACTCCACCTCATCTTAACTGTCCTAAGTTTATTTTAAGTATTGGGTTGAATTCTATCATACCATATGCATGTTATACTTGTTTTACAAAATGAATTGAATGACAATATTGTTGATGTTTTGAAACTACAGTGTTATCACAGACATGGTGGAGCTGTTGCAGGTTTGTGTAATGTCTTCCTCTTTCTTTCACTTACAGACTGTGGCTCTTTGGGACCTGAGAAACCTCAAATTGAAGCTGCATTCCTTTGAGTCACACAAGGATGAGATCTTCCAGGTAAAATGTTTATCATACTATGACATTTTCTTGAAGGAACAATAGCATATCTTGTATTCAAGATGTGAAGAATCCTTAGTGTGTAAGTTAATAAATAGAAGGCATCAACACTTGATTTGTTCCTGACAATGAGTTGTTGTTCATTTTTACCTAATTTGAGTTCACTGGCTGTTCTAGGTTCAGTGGTCACCTCATAATGAGACCATATTGGCATCCAGTGGAACAGACCGTCGACTCAATGTCTGGGATCTCAGGTAAAGAACTTAAGATCTATGCTTAATCTTCTTAATCCATTTGGCTCTATCGTGGCTGCAGGAAATGATCCCCCTCACATTTGAGCATTGTTATGTGTTCAAAGGCCTTTTAAACAAAAACAGTTATGGGTTTTCCGCAGCTAAGTAATCAGACTAAAGAGATGTAGATACAATTTAAAGATGAGATGTTTTCATTTCATTGTAGCAATTGGAAATGATGGAAGACGGGCTACCTTCCACTTCTATAAAACTCCTAGTGGACGTAGGCATCATGGCAGTCACAGCTGCATGGTTTAGCACCAAATTTATCTGTCTCTTGTTTTTTTGTGTAGTAAAATCGGAGAGGAGCAGTCCCCAGAAGATGCAGAAGATGGCCCACCTGAGCTACTGGTGAGTTTATTGAAGCCTGCTGCTGTTTGGAATTGTTCACTTTAATTGCTCACATTGTCTTGAAACAGAATAACTAGAACATTGGCTTTTCACCTGTCTGATAGTTCATCCACGGAGGCCACACAGCCAAGATTTCTGACTTCTCCTGGAACCCCAATGAGCCCTGGGTCATCTGCTCTGTGTCTGAAGACAACATTATGCAAGTTTGGCAAATGGTAAGAACCTGAGTCTACATTTTACTAAAACATGTTAGCTAAAGACAGACAGACAGGCAACACGGCTTTTTAGACATTTATTTGAAAAAATCCTAAATTTGCAGGATCATTTCAATACCCTCAGTCCATCTTTTTCTCATTGTCCTGTATTCCCGCTGTAGGCTGAGAACATCTACAACGATGAAGATCCTGAAGGGGCAACAGAACCTGAAGCCACAGCCTAACACTTCTGCTTTCAACTTCATCCCAAACTGCCACTTCAGACGTTCCCTGCAGCTACTTCCTCCCTTCCTGCTCTACTTCTTACTGGTGTGACACACTAAAGTGTCCTACATCACTGTAAATATGGGAACGAGAGGCATCACGTACAGTCCTGGTCTTGTTTGGATTATTCAAAGTGAAGAACTCTTTTTACTCAGTAATTTATTACCTGAGGAATCTCAGCCATGTTTTTCACATTGCATAAACAAGGTATATTTTTGTAATCAAATTGGCTTTTCCTTGTATGCTGAAATGTTTTAGCCAATACTTTTTCAAAAGTAAATGTGCTTTTCTACAACACACTGACAACCTGCTGTTGCAAACAGCCCCATCCACGCATGTTGGACGTGTTGTAGAAAATGTCATTTTATGGAAAATGCAGTCCACCTTTGTGACATAATGTTTCAGTTCAGTCGCCACCAAATTGTAATTTCAAATTTTGAAGTGAACCTGTCTTTGAATTGTCTACTTGTTTTCCCCACATCCCCTCATCGTAACCATAGAATAAATACATTTTCATTTTTGTCATTGTGAAATAAATTTTTGTTTTGTATGTAAAAGATTTTGCAGTTGTACAATTAAATTGTTAGTGCATCCTCTAATAAACTGTCTTTCACCAGTATTTGGGTTCACTTCATGTATTGTCAACATGTCTCATAATAGTATCAGTGTCTTGCTCAGCTTAGAAGTATTTTCAAACAATCCCTAAATGATTCTTGGTTATGTCGAGTCACACTTTGCTCAGACCTTTTTCAATGTGTTTGATGTGACGTCTTGGTGCTCTCTTTTCTCCTGAGCTCACTATTACTGTCCCACTGTTTAAGTTCTCCAGACATGTTGTCCTTATAAGTACACAAAGCCCTCTCTGCCCGAGACACATTAATTCATCAGCCACACTGACTTTACGAGAAGCCTTTATTTATAATAAGAAACCTTTCTACAAGCAGCAGTCTAGTTCATCTTTACAGACTGTTCTGAAAAACTTTGTCATTGTTGTTTTGTGTTTTAACAAGTGCATGTCTCAATATGTGTAAAGTGCATTAGCAGTAACTTTGCAATCACTATGTTGCAGATAAAAAAAAATATTTGTTTGTTATTAAATCACAGAACTGCACACAGGTTTGCTCTTCATTTAAAAATCATGTTTCCTGTTCATGGTCACACTCATTATGGTCCTCAATGGCAGCCCTGGAAGAGAAGAGAAAATAAAATGAGATGAGTATTAGCCCCACTGTGGGGACTGTGTCACAGTAGCAAAGGGGACAGAAAGAATAGACCCCAAGTTAAAGAAATAAGTAAACACATATGAAACAACAATGAAAACACAATATAAACTGAATATATATGTGGTTGCCTATTGAAAAATCAGCATTGCACAGTCAAGTTATTTAAACCTCTGTTTAGCAAAGAAGAATGTTTTAGTTAGAGTTGTTCCCTGAACTTCACTTTGGGATTTTTAAACTCAGTACATAATACAGAGTAGAGAAACAAGTCTCACCTGTAAAGCAGCAGTTGTTTTGTGAGTCTGTCTCTCAACTCCTCTATGTCTTTGGTTTTCTTCTTCTGAATCTTTAACTCAGTCTTCAGTTCCCTGCTGCTCTCCTCCAGACAGCACACTGTCTCCTGTAAGAGTCATAAAACTTAAGTGCTTTGAGAATTTATGAACTTGAGGGAAAGTTTATCCGCTCCCCATTTTTGTCTCTCTTTCTTTCCATCGTCCCCATTTTTGCTCACCTTGTACCGGCCTGCATCCTCTCTGCGATGTATGTGGATTAGTTTAAGTTTCTCCTCCAAACAAGACCTCTGGAGCTTCAACTTTTGGATCTCATCCCTCAGGGGTCTCAGCTGCGCCCTCAGTTCCTGGCCCTGCTCTTTGGCCTTCACCAGCGCTCCAGCTGTGGCCTCTCTCCTCTTCAGCAATGCCAGCAAAATGGGTTCATACCTGGTAAAGGCAACCATCGAATGTACAATAAGTTTCTACCCAAAAACTATGAGCAGCAAAATATCTGTAGTCGACTGCAGAAAATAACACAGGCAAAATCTGATTACATGTTTTGTAGTCATAAACTCTTGCCACATCAGGAGTAGAATACAGGAGTAGAATACAGGAGTGGATTTAGTGATTATGGTTAAAACAACAATGTGTAGTTTGCTATAAAACAGTGATTTTCAACCTGGGTGTTGTGAGATTATTTCTGGGGGTCGCCAGACAGTTGTGGAGAAACAATTATATAATCAAATGAAATCACATATTTTAGATGGTGGTGATTGTTATTACATTAAATGATATATACCAGCGATAATATCTGCTGTGGAATGGATGTTATTAAGTGAGTTGCAGAGTCAAGTCAGAGATGTTCTTGTCTGGGGAATTTTCTCTTCAAGTGAGAAACTACAATTTAATCGGGTTGAGAATAATAGTGTGGAAGAGAACAGCACAGAGAAACGTCCACCAGCCTGATTGTTCTGGTGAATTGGAACTTGAATCACTGCTGTGAAAGATTAGCATAATCAGACTCTAAATGCTAAATGTGTTTCAGCATGAAATCCTGTACTAGAAGGTGACAGCACCTGTGCTCCAGGGCTCTTAGTCCACCCTGCAGATACTGCTGGATGTCCCCACAGGACTGCCTCCTGCACTCGGTCAGCTCCTGCTGGGTGTTGGAGTTCTGACTGGAGGTCTGGGCTTGAATCTGTGTTTGGAGATGCAAGAGCTGCTGTTGTTGGCCCGACCTGAGGTGGCAGCTTTCCTCTGTCAGCTGGAGCACCAGCACCTGCAGCTTCTCCTGCAGCATGGCAAATAAGAGGTTTTGAATACAAGGGAATGCAATATACACGTAGACTCTTCTTGACTCTTCTTAAAGATTTTCTTACCTCCTCTCTCTTTAGCAGCTCCACCTCACGGCGCTGGTTGTTCAGAGAAGCCTGACTGTGGGTACAGTCCCTGACCATGGCGAAGAGCCGCATTTTCAGCTTCCTGAGCTCCTCCTGCAGCTCCTGTCTCTCCAGGTTGACCTTCCACATCCTCCTCTCCTCTTCTGCTCTCTCCTCCCTGAGGCTCTGTATCTCCTTCTTTCTTTCCTCTCTCCTTCCCTCTTCCTCACTCTTCAGTATATCCATCAGCATTGCCACTTTGCTGTCTATTTGCTCTTCTGTCCCTTCTTCCTCATCATTTCTCCCCTCTGCCTCTTCCTCTCTGTTTTTATTCCCTCTCAACTCCAGCACCTCCGCCAACAGCTGCTTTCTCCTCTCCTCTAAGCGCTGTACTTCCTGTATGCACTCCTCCATATGAGACCCCAACTCCCCTAATTCAAACATACCAGTTTTCAGAAAAACGGTGTCCGTTTTGAGCTCTTGTCTTTCTTCAGCTGGCATTTCAGTGTCATCGATTTCAGTCTCAGATATGTCTACCTGTCTTTCTGTGCTTTCCTGAGACATGCATTGTGTCTTTGTCCCTTCACAGTCCATTGGATAATTTTCATTACAATCTGATAGGTCTGATGACCTTAAAAAACTGAGGTGTGGATCAAGAAACCCCTGATCCATTACTCCTGACCCTTCCAGCCTTTGCATGTTGTCACAGCAAAGTAAGTGATTCTGCTGGCTTCCATTGGTTGTTGAACCCACTGTCATTCCATTACTACTGTCCTCGGACATTGAATCTCCTCCTGTGTGTTTAACAGCCAAGGACTCTAACTGCGTCGACTGGGTCTCCAGCTTCACTGGCATCGTCTGCTGAATGGGCACCAGTGTTGTCCCTCTATTAAGATTAGGATTCTTACTGATGTGCACATATTCTTGACTTGCATCTGTCTCCCAGTCTTGTGGCTCAAAGTCCATTCCGGCCTCCTCCATACAGCTTTCCAGCATGGACAACATTCCCAGCAGGTGGCCCTCATACTGCACCATAGCGTTGCTCAGTTTGCTGCCCGCTAAGGTTACAGGCATTTCTGGCTGCGGAGACACTTCTTGCTTGCTGATGGTGGTGCCCATGCCTTGCAACTGTTCTTGCGCTGGCTGCTCATCTGCTCCAGCCCCATCCATGTGTGTGTCCATGTAGCTTGTGGAAAGATAGGCATGAGGAGATACACTTGTCTCTCTGTAGCTCTCCATTGTAACCTCCTCTTTGCTCTGGCTGTGAGTTGATTCGCTCAGGCTTGTTTCTGTGTAACTTTCTGAGAAGCGCGAGCCGAAAGGGATTCCTGTAAGGTCCTCGCAGCTCTTTAGTAAGTCGTCCATCTCTTGTAGGTATGGCTTGATTAAAGCAGTTTGATTCAGTTGTGTTTCTGTGAAGGTGAGTTCAGATTGTGGCGTGCTGCGCTCTCTTTGAACTACGAGGGTTCTGTCTGGCTCCCCAGCCTCTTCTTTGATGAAGAGAGGCTCGAACCCAGTGGATGAAATGCTGTCGTCCATATCCTCCATTGGTTGAACCTAATTCTTGCAGCCTCTTTTGTAGATAGTCTCCCTCAGTACGGTCTCATCCCTTGACAAAAGCAAATTAATATGTAACTCTAGTTGTTGGCAGTCGTGCTGCATGTTATAGATACTAGGGCTATGTTGACATAGGATATGTGTTAGCTATGCTGGTGTCATTAGTGATGTGGGCATGTAGAAGCGAGCTCGGGCACGGTTTATTAGAAAGTATGCTACCACCTGCTGTCCTCGTAGACTCGATGCCCTGGTCACCAATTTACTGCCTGGCACACACCTCAAACAAACCTATTCACATGAGCACTGCATCGCTGCTTATGTAAACACATACAAACAGTTCATGTCTAGAGCGCCAACAAGTGGCATTACACAGTTTACATTAGAGAGGAGATTATCACAACATGTCACTGTACTGATAGATGGGCTTCTGCACTCTCCCCTGGTGAATAATCTAGCAGTAATTTCATCCTCAGAGGTGTTTGCCAAGACGGAATAGAGACTCCCAGAGAGTGAATTGATCAAATTGACCCAATAGTGTCATCCAACAGATTTGTAAGATAGAAAGGGCATGAATGACATGTGTGACTTTTCATTTGATAGTTGCTATCTCGTGGTCACAAGCTTTTCCAAAATAAGTAGGTCAGATAAAGCAAAAAAACTCAAATCTACAGCACCCACAAATCCCTCTATTTATTTTGTCATGTGTCCGCAGTGCCTACGGGCTGGACTTTGCTGTGAACAGCTGATCAAATCCCTTGAGAGACCAGCTGTCTCACTGCAGGACAGGCATGGGTGCAAGGCACATTCCTTTAGACCTCTACAATCCAAATACAGCACTGGCCTGTATTTGCTGACCAGTCTGAACACACACTTTTCTTCTTCAGTCACAACAAAATTCAAAAAGACATTAATTTCATGCAACAACAGCATTCCCTTTATTTCCTTTCATTTGTTGCTTAGAGGTAGAGGATTGCTTACTGTCAAGAAATTACATTTTTCTCTCAAAAATGATCATTTGCACAAACCATCATATGAAACCATCAATTACTACTGAACTTACTTTTCAGAATATGCCTCTGTTTCCTCTGTCCTTGTTCTGTATCCTCAGGATGAGTTTGTGTGGATAGGACTGGTGGTTCATACGACAAAGCAAAGAATGAGCGGGAGCGGTGTGAGCAGATGAACTGAGAGAGGAGGGGGGGGGTAACGACAGTTGACCCAGCCTCTTTTCTCTCTGTCAGTGTGCTGCTATGTGTGACCATGACTACCTCAAATCTGTTTAGGTTTATTAATAAACACTGGGCAGGCTGTTTCAACCCGAGAGAGAGAGAGAGAGAGAGAGAGGAGAGAGAGAGAGAGAGAGATGGGATTTGCCAAAATGGACGTCTAAGAATTATGCCAAACACCTGGCAGCCATATTTAGTGTATAAGTAATTTGTTAAGACATTACGTGTTTTTAGTGTCAGAACTTTTTCTTGAGCCAATGCTTTGATATACATATTATTTTTCATGTATCTAGTGTGGAATAATGCACTTATTTTGTATTATGAATTTGCACTCTAAAGTAAAAATGAAATTATGCACTCACTGAATATGTCTTTTGTTTGAGGAAAAGCTCCGTCTTTTGCATCAGTAGAAATTTTAGCACACAGACAGCCTCTCTGACAACTTCTGTGTTGCCAGATGAACAGATGGAGTTGCACCTAGTGGCAACTATGGCTGGTGAGAGGTGGAGGGGTGTCAGGGGTTCACGGTGTGTGTTTGTGTGTGTATGATGAAAGACACCATGGCTCCAGGATTCCACCCGTGCCTCCTCATTATCGAGAGGTCTTTAAATAGCTGCCTGCACTTTTCTGGTCACTTCCCATGGGAGGATTGGTTTTCATGTAAACTTCTGACCCCAACAATGAACCAGTGGACAGGTGGTGCTCCTCTGTAGTCTGAGGCGAGGGTGATAGAAGATGAGACAGAGCTGTAGGAGACATGAAAACATGTGTCAGATGATAGAAGTGGTGAAATGGGTGTAGGGAAATTTCAATGAGATTTCTATTTGTACTCTAAAACTATCATTTCGCTTCATTATTAGTTTTTTGCCTTTTTCTTATTTCGATCCTGTCATTTTCACTTTTGTTTTGAATATTCCTAAACCCATAAGATACTTTGTAACATACACCACTAGATGGCACTACAGTCTCAATGTAATTCCTAAATTAATTCTAGACATTATTCCATGCTGTGGATAACTCTACAGTCTTTTCTCTGTGTTTGTCCGTCATGTTATTTTCTCACAGTTGTGGATATCATCTACAGAGTGAACATTTGAAGAAACAGAACATTACTCTGTAAATCTTTCACCAAAGACTTGATCAGTGAGGATCTGAGACCTATAGGATCATTTGTGTTATTATGTTTTGACCAGGCTGTTTTGTTTTTCTAAACTGTATTTAACTTATGCATTTGCTGTAGGCCTGTAGTATTCCTCTAATAGACTTAACATAAAGATGGACGACATTATAGCTCCCCAAACGGGAAGCCAAAGGATCTCAGTCACTCCCTGGTGGCTGGCTGCAGTACGGGTCATAAACTCCACCTCCTCATTGTTAGTAGTTGAAATATGGACCAAACTCAAAATCAAACTCAAAGATGGTTTCCAGTTATTTTAGATATTTCTTTTCGAACTGATGTATATTCAATTTCATTGATTCTGGCTCCAAACTCACAAACTCTGATAGTTCCTATCAAGGATATTTTCATTGTACTGGGAGGAAGTGGAGTGTTTTATCACCAAAAGAAGTAAATGTTTTATTTGCCCCCTCATTCATACAGATTGGAAGTGAACGAGGGGGTTAGGGTGTGTCACTTAAACATTGTTGTATGTGAGCCGCAATGCTGTGGACAACTCTGCAGTCTTTTCTCTGTTTGTCTGTATGACTAATTTGTTTACATTTGCAAAGCAATAGACAGATATGAAATAATGGAATAATGTTTAGTTGGCTTCCTATGGTAAACGTTTAATTTACGACAAATCCCACTTTACTGTATTCCCATGACCCTTTTTTGCACCAAATATGCTTTTATTTTTAGCGTTTTAGCTAACACCCTGTGTAATTTGTGTGTCATTCCTCTGAGATCATGATTCATTGTTTCCATGACAAAGATTACGTCCCTTGTGCTCGAGAAAAGATGTAATGTTTATCTAATTCACCGTTGTTGACCACTGTGACTGTGTTTTGGCAAGTCTAGGCTTTAGGAGAGAGACAATAATTTACATGACGTCATGTCCAGGGATCAACAGTCTCAACAGTTTAACACTGTTGAGCTGATGCACACACACACAGGATCCCACTCCCTCACTTCCCTGCCTAAATATCATCATTTCTTTCTGTTATTTCCTTCATAGCGAATGGAGAGATCTTTAGTGTATGTGGGTGGGGGGGAAACCAAATATTTAAGGGGGCATTGTGGTTCGGGACTCAATGTCCCACTGAGATAGACCATATGCTGGACATTCATTTGGACTAGTCTATTAAAGTCTGTTCCAACCGGCAGTTCCAAACTCCCCAGAACATCCTGTCAGTGTGTCCTCCTCTTCCACCTGTTTCTCCTGTTTCTCTTCCCAGGATAAGAAGTCCAAAAATGCAGATCACTATGCAGAATGCATTTTCAAAAATTTGAGATCACTTTAAAGTTCTTCAAGATCAATAGCTGTCAGCACTTTATGCATGGTTTCATTTTGGTTGTACTCAGGTTTTGACTCAATTTTACTGGTTTTATCACATTAAGATTTGAATTTAATAGTGATTGTGAAATAATGGTTAAGAAAATAGGTTAAGACATTTCAATCATAGGTCATTACATTGAACACACCTAACTCCAAACAAGCTATCCTTATTTACACTGGCTGCTCAGAAGTTGTCACGGTTTCGGTTTTGTTTTTGAGGTTAAAAATAATCATCCTCTGAAATATCACCCACCGGTCATATACACAGAAAAATAATTGCAGTTGTTTTTGTCTGAACTCAAAAGGAACAAACAATGTTTGTTATAAGTGCATTAGATTTGTATATGGGAAATGTATGTACTAAAGCAATCAAATATTTAGGGAAGCACTTTCGCAAAAAGAGACGTAAACATTCCAATCATGTGCTCTGCATCCTGTAGAACAAGTTCTGGAAACAATCCGTGGTTAGGAAAAGCTTATCAGTATTTATTCATTACACGACAGAATAATTCTATACATGTCTGTTTATTCTCAGGTACAGTTTTAACATCAACATGTTCTCATGTAAAGTTCATGATGCAGACACTCTTAAGAATACTGGCTCTGAAATCATAGATTAACTGTGGGTACAGTTAAGGCAGCAGTAAATATTTTTTGTTACACTAAATAAGAAGAGCATGGATGCCATTTTCAAACACAGTCTTCCTTCATAATCTCACTTCCACCCTGGTGCCTCCCAGTACGACCAGTCTCCTACCGAGATAAGAGATAAAATGTCTTGCACAAGGAAACCTTGACAACTACTTATTGTGATGGAGCAGAATGTTTCTCATTCAGTGTCCTGAGACACATTTTTCTCTGATGGTCAGTGGATTTCAACTGACCTTCTTATAATAAGCCCACTTTTCCAAATTGTCACTTTGTTGTTCCCCTCTGTCTGTCACACCATGCATCATACAGGATTGTCTCACTGTGGCTAAGTGTGTTTTAATGACAGTGACCTTACCTGGTGTTTACTCAAACAGAGTGCCTCTGCCACATAATTGTCTAGCGCCATCTTCTCACTGTCATCAGCCACCCAGTGTTTGTACCACTTGGCTTTTCCCTGTCTTAAGGGATCACTTAATATAATGAAGTAGCGGAGGCTCCATGTCCTCCTTCAATGTGTTTTTTCACTGTTCTGGATTAAGTCTGTTTCCTCCATTTAAAGATGACAGACACACTCACCATTAAAAAGACACAGGGAACAAGTTTTGAAAATCGCCCTCATTTGAAAGTGTTGCTTCGTTCATGTTGTGTCAACCTCTACTGAGAATCTTTCATCGTTCAGTGTTATCACCTTCATGCTGCAGCACAGTCACGACCAGTTCCCATGAAGGGGTTTTCCGGATGAGAAGAGCTGATTTGTTGATGAGAAGAGCTCACATGTTCAGCTGGTGAGGTTCATACGTTTGATTCTGCAGTCATGGGTCTCATCTACAGAGTGTTTATTAAGAGACACTTACACTGATGTGTGAATCTGTAACCAAAAACATAATGCATAGGGCTCTTAGGACTATTGTGTCGTTTATTTTTTGAACTGGTTTCTATTTATGCATGCAATTGTGTGTAAAAGCTTGTATGTAACATTTGCTGTAGGCTTATAGTATTCCTCTCAACAGGGACTTTCATGTGATGGCCATAATTCCCTACTGAAAGGTATGTATGCAGACCCATATTAGTATTGTTTAGATTCAGTTGTATTGATTCAGTATTCCTCACTTGTTTTAGGAAAACTTTGCGGGCTGACTATTGGATGGATTATTAGACATTCATGGCCCTGACAGATAAAGACTAATGCCTGTAGTGTTGCAGTGACCTTTCTCTAGCACCATCATGAGGCACACGCCTTTTATTTGAAGTGAAATATTCTGAAAACTGTTGAGATTGTTATGAACACAGATCTGTCTTTCCCTGATGATGAACTATAATCACCTTGGTTACCCTTTAACTTTTCATACTTTATCATAAGGATGACTTTCAGTACAGACTGTTCACTTGTAGCTTGTATCTAAATCCAAACATATGAGGCTCAGATTGTGAGTTAAATGCTGTGACTGCTGAGTCATTGGCTGGTGTGTGTTCTGCATGTGTACATGAGTCCATGTGAGTCTGTCTGCATCCATTAAAGGAGCTGCTTTTTTAGGACAGCTAATGTTGAGGTATTGATGTCTGTTTGATGAACTACAGTAAATATTGTGAAGGCCACTTACAATCAATCAAGTTTTATGACTTTTTAAAAGTTAACAAACACGTTTTTGCACACTCCAAAAATCTTTAGACCCGGACTGCAGAAATATGCTCCTAATCCCTGTTGTGTTGAGAAATGGTTTAGATTGAGAGAATCACCACTCTGTATTCAGCTCTCTTAATTAGACGATGC